AAAGGGAATTCGGAGCAAATGAAGAATTAAAATGGTGGAGAACAGAGCTGTGTAAGACATGAACAGAGGTAAACATTCAGCAAAGGATACAGAAAGTGACCACAGATTTAAAAGGAAAAACAGAGCAGTGGAGTCCCCAAAACAAAGAGATCAAAGTTCCAAGAAGGAATAAGCTGATAGCAGCATCAAAAGCTGCAGAGGGCTCAAATGAGATGAGGACCTTAGAGTATCTAGTGAATTTGGCAATATAGAAGCCACCGGTGACCTCCCTGGAGTCACTTCAGTAAAGGAGTGACAGCACAGTCCAGATTGCAGTGCATTGAGGAAGGGATGGGAAGTGAGAAGGTGGAGCCATTGAGTGTAGAAGATGATTCTTGGGCAGACTGGTTGGGAAGGAAGAGAGAGAAAGAAAAAAGTAGAAGGTGACCACTGGGAGACATAGGAGCATGTCCTAGAAGACCTTTGCTTACCTCCTCTCCTGAGTATAAGGCGGGTCACTTATTCTTAGGGCCAGAAGTAATTGGAGAGAGAAAGGGGAGTCCCCACTTCCTGTACCAGCCTCCACTGAATCCTGGTTCCCTGGGGATTTGTATAAATTATGCACAGTAATAGAACTCTGTGCCCATACTGTTTGCAAGATGCGTGCATGGGGTATGATAACAACAATAGCTATCATTTATTGAGAGGATATTTATGCAAAGCAAAGAGCTTTACATAAATTATCCCATTTAATCCTCACAACAACCCTATATGGTAGGCCTTATTATTTTCTTCAATTTAAAAATGGTAAAACCTGAGACACTGAGTGCTTAATTGCCTGCTACAGGTCACCCAGCAAATACATGCAGCATCAGGACTCAAACTCAAGTTCATCATATCCCAACACCTGTGCTCCCAACTGTTAGTGCCAGAGTCCCTCAAGCTCGACTCTGTGAATCACAGATGTCAGGCTCATGTGGGGAGCTTTTAAAACGTGCAAATCCCCAGGTTCCACAAAAGATATACTGACTTATTTTTATGAAAATTGGAGCCTAGGATCTGAAAGCTCCACAAATGATCCTATCAAGCGCCACAAATGATCCTATCAAGCGCCACAAATGATCCCTATGCTCACAGAAGTCTTCTTAGGTAAAGTATTTACCTCCTTACTGTTTGAGCTGCCTATAGTTGGTCTTCACTGCATTAGGATTCACACTCTTCCTGAGGATAAAGATAATCTGGGCTGCTTGTGTGAGATAAAGTAGCTTCTCAGGCTTTAACCTGGACCTGTTAAATGAGGGTCTCCAGAGGAGAGGCCTGGCTGTCTGTTATATATATTTAGCAAGTTCCCCAGGCAATTCTTATCTTCAGAGAAGACTGAGAAACACTGTTTTCTTATTCACAGCAAAGTATTCTAAGAGCTACCCTGGGCTCTAATTTAGGTTCTATCACCTAATCACTCTGTGCCTCATTTTCCTACAAAATGAGTATATATATATATATATATATGCCTAATAGAGCTGTTGTGAAGATTAGATACTGTACCAATTAGGATGAGAATCGCCATTTTATAACAAAAACAAAGTAACAATGGCTTGAACAAAGGGAGTTATTTTTCTCTCAGGTTAAAGTCTAGAGGTAAGCAATCCAGGGCTGGTATGAGGTCTCTAACCATTAGGGAGGGAGACTCTTGCTATCTGTCTGTCTGCCCTTTCACATTAACATATTGCCTCTTGGCACAAAAGGGCTACTGAGGCTACAGCCTTTTTTTCTACACCCCTGAGTAAAACAAAGAGAAAAGGGGATGCACCACCCACCCAAGTCAGATTTCCTTAAGTAGTATCTCTGGCAGGTCCTTGGGACAGTTCCTATTTATACCACATTCACCAGAACATAGTCAGACAGCCACATCTAGTTGCAAGGAAGACTAGAACCTAAATATCTTGTAGTTCAGCATCAGATCTTTGCCATCCCAAATAAACCAGGCTTCTGTTACTTTTTTTTTTAAAGAAGGAGAGAGAGAATAAATATTGGTGTCACAGCCACAAGAATGTGACTCCACAGACTTCTTACTGCAGGGAGCTAAGGACACCAGCTGCTGTCCTTTAAAATCCATTGGCCATGCCTCCCTGGAGATGTACCCCACCAATGACTGAGTGCAGTGAGGTACCAAGTCAGACCCAGTCCTGAAAGACAAGGGACTCCTTTGTTGGCTGACTTTGGCTCAAGGACTCTCTGATAGCCTTTGCTAGGCTGCACCTTCCTTAGTCTGCATGGCGATCTGGAATACTATCAATCCAACCTCCATTCATCCCTCCTTCCTTCGGGGCTGTTCTGGCCTTCTCTGGCCTTCTCTTCCTCCCAATTTCCTTTCACACAGGGATTTCTCCTAGTAAAATACTTGCACGTTTAATCCCATCTTGGTTCCTGCTTCTCGAAGTAGCTGATTAGCAAAATTAGCAAAGTAATTCACAGTCCCTAGCACGCATGCAATAATGCATATAACACTTGTGGAACTCTATCATGGGCATGTAGTAGACACTCAGGAAATAAAAGCTATGTGGTGGCAATGGTGGTGGAGAAGGAGGAGGGAGGAGTAGAGTGCCAACCCTGGAGAAAGGGGTGTTTTTCAGGGAAGGGGGACACAGGGTCTCAGGCAGATCACTCTGTTTGATTCTCCCTCACCCCCAGCTTATTTCTATCATAGTACAATCTGGCTAAAATCAGCACCAAAGTCAGTATGAACCAGGGGAATAGACTCTACATAATTGTCATCACAGGGCAACTGAACTGTTAGTAATTAACATCAGCCATTTCAAGTAATTTTTCAACAAAAAGAAAGGGAGGGAAAAGCAGCAGGGCAGGCCCTAAGACAAAATTGCACAAAAATAAACCCAATGTCCTGAGCAACTCTGGTTCTCATACTGGAAAAACACTGATCAGAAATTACTTATCATGATAACCTAAGAGCACTATTTCCACAACAAAGTTTTCAGTGTGGAAGCTAAAGCACACACAAATCTTTATAAAATAATAAAAAGTTCCAAGGAGAAAACAGAGTGAGAGAAGGTGCAATGGGGGCAAAAGGTGGATATGAATCTGTACACACCCCAAAAATCCCAAGGGACTTCACTAACATTATGTACCTGACACATAGTAGGAGCTTAATAAGTGGTGCTTGCCCAGATAAACGAATGGCTCACTCATGGTTGTAGCTCATCATTTATCATTCATTCAAGAAAGATTTGTAGAAAGCCTAATATGTGCCAGGCTCTGTGCTAGGCTCTGAGGATGTCACAGTGAACAAGACAGTTGAAGTCCTTGCCCCATCATCCTTCTGCAGAGAAATCTTTGCAGGCATTTTATGTGGACCCCTCTACCTCTGTCTTTTTATGTTCATGGATTGAACGGGAGCCCACATCTATCAGATTTAAAGCCCATACTAATTGCTTCTGAAATACAGGCAGTCCCTGGGTTACAGACAACGTGACTTATGGTGTTCCGTACTTACAAACAGGCTCCCAAGGCTCCCCATAAGGATAATTTAAAATTAAATAATTAAAGTAATAATTCAGGAACTAGTTTCTTCCATGCATGTAAACAAACCCACGTGGCCTAAGCAGCTCCGTGGTGTAGCATTTTTAAGCCAGCTGCTAGGCTCACAGATAGATAGAGAAGCAGCTAATAGAAAAACACAAGAATACAAAGAATCAGAAGATTTAGAGCCAAGAAAGTTTATGACAAAAGAATTAGCTGAAGCCTTTCGTCTCATTGAAGCCGGATTTGCTGAGCTTGAGGAGCAAGATACTAACATTAAGCAGTTATCAAAGGTTTACTGTGCTGTCAGCATACTACAAGGCCATTTATAATATTTGCAAAAAACGCTGGGTAAACAGTCCTAGATACCTTTCTCAGGAAACCGACTTCAGTGGTAAGCTCCCCTTCTCCAGCGAGAGTCAAACCCTGATTCTCCAGCACCCACTCCATCCTCTCCAGCACCATCTCTGTCATCACATTCAGATTAATGTTAGTCCACCTCCTTGCCTCAAAAATACCCTTTCCAGTAAGCAAGACATTGGTGCAGCATTAGCTGACTGTTAACCTTTAATATTCTTTTTTGAAATTTCCCCTATTTCCTACCTAAACTTTTTGTATGAGTTTTTTTGTTTTTGTTTGTTATTTTTATTTCAGCATATTATGGGGGTACAAATGCTTAGGTTACGTGTGTTGCCTTTCCCCACCTTCCCCCTCAGAGTCAGAGCTTCAAGCGTCTTCCATCCCCCAGATGGTGCGCATCATACTCATTATGTATGTATATACCTATGCCCCCCTCCCCGCTCCCACCTGCCCAACACCTGATAAATGTTATTCCTATATGTCCACTTAGGTGTTGATCAGTGAAACCAATTTGCTGGAGAGCACATGTGGTGCTTATTTTTCCATTCTTGGGATACTCCACTTAGTAGAATGGATTCCAGCTCTAACCAGGAAAATACAAGAGGTGCTATATCACCCTTGTTTCTTATAGCTGAATAGTACTCCATGGTATACAAATACCACATTTTATTAATCCACTCATGTATTGATGGGCACTTGGGTTGTTTCCACTATGAGTTTGTTTTTATGTTCTGTTTGTTTGAATTAAAAGTAAGAGCACAATAGTTTCTGTAACTTATTATTACAGTACTGGATGTTATTATTATTATTTTACAGTATTACGCTGTGTTATTATCACATATCAGCCATTACAGTAGTAATTATTATCGCCATATATGCACTTGTCATCAGGGATCCGAGGTACATACACATCAGATCTAAAGACATTCTGAGGAATATATCTCGTCCGTAACCTGGGGAACACATGTACTTTCTCACTCTGGAAACCAAGTTGACTCACTCCTATAAAATTATCCCTGATGCAACCTTGGATTTCTATTGGCTTCTACATTCGTCATCTATTGCTGTATTAGAAATTACCCCCAAACTTAGCAGCTTAAAATAATAAGCATTTATTATCTCACCGAGCTAAGAAGTGACTTAGCTGTATGGTCTGGCTCATATCTCTCTCATGAGGTTTCCACCAAGGTGTTAGCTGGGGATTCAGTCTCTGAAGGCTTGATGGGGGCTGGAGGATCTGCTCCCAAGGCGGTGCACTCAATCACTAGCAATTTGATGCCGGCTGTTGGCAGTAGGCTCAGTTCTATACTATGTGGTCTCTCCGTAGGGCCCCTCATGAGATGGCAGCTGGCTTCCTGCAGAGCATATGATCTGATAAGAAGAGAGACCAAGAGAGAAGCTATAAGGTCTTTTATAGCCTGATGTGGGAAGTAGCATACCTTAACTTCTCCTATATTCTATTGGTCACAAAGACCACCCCTGGTACATTGTGGATGGGGACTAGACTGGAAGTGAAACCAGGAGGTGGGATCACTGGGGCCATCTCAGAAACTGGTGACCACACTTTCCCAGAACAGCTCCCTCTCCCAAGACTCCACCCAAACCCTAGGGGAGGGAGGTATGCAAATTTCGCTGTCGGAAAATACAGATGCACAAATACAGATGCATAGTGAATTTACTCTGCCCTGGAAATCCATGTTTTGAGCTCAATAGAACTTCTTTTCCTCAATTATACTTTAGCATCATGCCATGCATAGAAGACTATCATAAGAAACAGCTCCAAGTAAGTCATTGCTGTATTTGTGTCACTGTTGTTCAGTGGACCCACAAGAAAAATATCTTTCTGGTCTCAGAGTCAGGAAAAGTTGGGCTTCTCCTGAATAATTACTCTTTTTTCTTTTTTAAAATCTGGAATTTTGTAACCATGCACGTTTGCCTCTTTACTTTGGCTGTTCATAAGCTCAGGCCCAAATGTGTAAGCTAGAATGACATCAATCTCCTTGAGCTAATGTCATCCTGGAGTTACTTCTTCTACTTGTTCTCTATTTTCTCCAGTTCCCTCAAATTTCCATATTATCCTTTTGTATATTTTGCACTTTTGCAATTCTTCTCAAAGTTTTTGTGGGATGAGGTGGAGTTTAAACACACAATATAATTAAAGTTTTTGCCCAAAAGACTGATGACCTGCATTACACGTGCCATCTAGTGGTGAGAGAAACAACTGCCAGAACAGCAACCTCCCTGATTTTTCAGATTTGTCTTTGTCAGGGAACCTGGAATAGTGGACAAGGGAAGAGAAGGGAGACCAGGACCCCTCTGTGTGCTTTGTCAGGAATTGAGACTGCTGAGGATTAAAGAGATTCCAGGAAGGGCAAGGAGCAGGTGATTCAAGGGCTGGAATCTGTAGAAGCAGCCAAAAAATCTTGAAGACATTACAAGTGAGGAAGGCACTAACAGTGTAAGGGTTAAGTAAAAAGTGTTAGAAAAAAGTAAACAATGAAAATAGACGAGATTCAAGCAAATTATCACTTGAAAGGTGCTTAATGTGGGTTGATTGCAGATATGACCAGCCATTTTTTAAACATTCACATTAACTGAAGGAAGAAGCTTAGAGTCTATTGTTTTCATTTTACTTGTGAGAAAAATGGGGAACAGAAGCATGAAGCACCTTGTCCAAGGTCATATAGCCTTTTAGTCACAGGTCTAGGGTGATGCCTAGGCCAGTCCTCTTTCCCTAGCACCATCCTACCCCTAATCATATGAAGCAGATGCTCATCAGGGCTTTCATTTTGCAAATAGGGTTTCAAAATAAAAATAAGATAATCACATAAAAATTTTGGCTCCAGCATGTTTCCAAGGAATTATTACTCACTGGTTTTGCAGCTGCCCCTTGGCACACTCCCAAAATGTCAGAATGGAGGAGGTGGTTATGAAGCACTATTTCATTAACCTTCACTACATGGCCAAAACCATCAGTTAACAATGATAGAAAAAGATTCCAGAAGCCAGAGACAATAGGTGAGGGAGCCCTAGCCTGGGGAAGAGAAGATAAGTTCATTCATCTACTCTGTAACCTAGCATCTGCTCTAGGCCAGGTTCCGGACAGGATGCTGGGGTAGCAACAACAACAATGTGCTGGCATCTCTGGAGCCATACATATTCCATTCATCTGTACCCTGACATGTGTTCTTAGGCACAGCTTCAGCTAAAACTGAGACATAGCTTGGATCCGGGGGGACTCTGAAGGCCCAGGGTCTATAGTCTCAGCCTGAGTGTCTTGAAAACAGCCTGGAGTCAGGGACCACTGAGGAGGCTGGAGATATTAATTATGAACTTGAGACAATACCATACTGGACAGCACAAATATAGAACATTTTGATCATCTCAGAGAGCTCTATTGGACAGCACTGGCCAGAAGTGCCCTTTCCTGGATATTCTGCTTCTCTGAGTGCTACCAGTTCTTCCAGCCCTTTCAAAGAGTGATATGAGCAGAGACTGGTGCGAGTCACTGGTTTCTGGAAGAGGCAGAGCCCCAGTACAATGGCTATTCCAAATCTGATGTCCTCATAGGTACAAATGACACACCAGAGATACAGGGCTTCTGGAGTTCAGTTCTTTAAACATTTCAGGCTTCTGTTCTGGTAAAAGGTGACAGAATGGGGGTAAAGGAACAGAAGGAATACTAGGGGGTTCAGCCTTTAAGGTCAGAAAGACCTAGGTTCCTATCTCAGGTTCCCCATTATTAATAGGGTGATCTTTGGGCAAGGTTTTTGGGCACAAGTTTTCTTGTTTGATTGTTATGAGGGTTAACTGAGATGATGGATGAGACTTGTCTGGCTCATGGTAAGTATAGATTTCTTACTCATTTCTTCTTGCCTTTTTGTATGCTAATATCCCCTCTGCCAAGAATAGGAGCCACAGGTCACCTTCTCATCAGGTGACAGGTGGAGGCTAGTAATGTCTAGCTGTTCCACTCATTCTCTCAATGTATATTTATTATGAAGGCACCAATTGCTGGCCTTGGGTTCTGTATCATACAGAAATAGAACACAAGTCCCTGAGAGAAGGAGCTCACTGTCTCATGGAGAGACTGGTAGACAAACCAATAATTATACTGTTTCATTATTACTACTATTTGTAGAGATGGGTTCTCACTGTTACCCAGGCTGGTCTTGAAGTCCTGGCCTCAAGCAATCCTCCTGCCTCAGCCTCCCAAAGTGCTGGGATTACAAGCATGAGCCACCATGCCCAGCCTAAACCAGTAACTATAGTAGGGGAATCAGAAGTTTGAGAAAATGCAGGGGGAGAATATAGAGGAGGAGATATTTCAATCAAGATAGAAAGGGTGAATAAAAGTTTGCCTGCTCAGCAAGTACATGGGAGCTAAACAGAGATATGCTAAACAGAGATTATGCTAAACAGAGATAACAGCACATGCAAAAAAGGAAGACTGGAAAGCAAGGTAAATCCAATTATGAAGGTCCTTGAGCACTAGGCTGAGTTTGAACTAAAACTTGTAGGGGACACAAAGCCTCTAAGAGGAAGTAGTCATCATATTTCAGTATTGAAAATATTTCTATATTGCTAGTGTGGGAGATGGTTTAAAGAGGTAAGGCTGAAAAAAGGGAGGCCAGCCTCTATATGTTCCACTCTTCCCCTACTTCACTGTGTTCTAGCCGCGAGGGACTTCTCTGAGTTCCTTGAATGACAAACTATCAAGCTCTTTCCTGCCTCAGAGTCTTTGCATTTGCTGTTTCCTCTAGCCCGGAACACTTCTCATGGCAGTTATAGAGCTTCATTTTTCCAGCCTTCAGGTCTCAAATCAAACATTTCCTCCTTGCCTTAATCTCTCAATCTATGCCCCCCCCAATTCGAAACTGCATTCTATTTGTACTATATGATCAATAGCGGCCTTACTATTAGACTGTAAATTCCATGGGGGGGGGTGAGGAAAAATTCCATGAGGTAGAGTTGTATCTGCCCCTCATTCCACACAAGTCCCCAGCATCTAACACAATTGGGGAACACCCTCCATAAATACTAGAGAGATGAGACTGTTAGAATACAAGGGATGATCATGGCTTAACCTAAGGAAGCAGCAGCAAACCAGAGAAAAGAAGACTAACATCACAACAAAGTGAACAGGACAGGTTTGAGAAAGAATCAGAATTGTTCCGATTGTACTGAGTTCTGACTACACTTTCAGCTGTACAGCCTGGGCAGGTCAACAACCTCTGTCCACCGCAACCTCAGCAGTCCCCTCCATAAAATGAGAACGACACCCTGCAGCTTGGCGGAGCGAACGTCCTGGAGGCAGAAAACAACAAGACTAGGGATAGGGCAGAGATCGCCGTGGCCCAAATGGAACACCTCAAGAGCCGCTGACGCTCGCGGAAGTCACCGCCTGACGTAAGTCCGAGACGTAAAATAGATCCACCTCAGGCGCAGCGCCACGGTTCTGTGTAACTTTGGAAAGCATCCGATGAGCAGCAGGAGCGGGAGAGTAATTTAGGGCCGTTATCATGTTTCTTTACATAGTTTCACCATTTCTCGGCAGTCCCTCTGAAATTTGTTCTAACCAACTAAGCTTGAAGGACGCTCAACACTACAAAGTGAAAGGAAAATTCTCGCTGTGGGATAACCGAGCAGCAGGCCGCTAGACGCTCAAGTGCAGCGGCGCCCCACGGGGCGGGAGGAGCCAGCGTGGAAGGCCCGCCCGGCCCCTCCTCTTTCCCGCGAGCCCGGCGGGAACCAGGGACTTCCGCGTTACTACATCTCCCAGAGGAGCCCGAGGCAGGCCTCCCTCACTGCGCAAAGGGAGGGCCGAGCCGCGGCTCCGCTTCCCCGCCGAGAGTGCGGGTTGTTTCAATCGAGACGGTTTCGCCTTTCCTCGCCGGCCTGTCAAGTCCCCAAAGACGTCTGACAGACCAGGCAACGCCTCCATCTGATTAGCCTGGCGCGAGTGGGCGCCGCAAAGCCCTCTGGGAAGTGTGGTTTCCGAGAGGACTACCGGGAAGCGGAGTCAAAGGGCGGCAAAGGACATGTGCGGCCAATTAGAGCCGAGCTTGGCCCGGGTCGCGTGACCTGCGCAGCCAGCTGTTTTGGAGTTTTGCCCTTGGCGGAGCTACTGGAAGTTCCCGGAGCTTTGGACGATGGCTCCTACCGTCGCCTGAACTCAACTTCAGGAGTGGCCTTCCCAGCTCCTGCGCCTTCCCTGCTGCCCAGACGCGGCGCTGGCCGCACATTTGCGTATATTTAAACTTGTCCTAGCTCTCCTTGACTTCGAATTAACTTGCAGGCAACTGTAGGACCTCACCGTACCGACTCTACTATCCCTGGCCTCTGCAGCACCAAACTGCCGCTGGAGTTGCGTCAAAGCTTTAGTGAATAAGCATTAATCAATTATTTGATCGTCTCATTTTGGGGGACTTTTCAACTACCTGTTCTCACTCCATCACTTGTGCTCACCATGACGTAAGTCCTGGGACCCCCCTCTACATTCTTGCGCCTCTAGTTTCGTTCTCTTATACGACCTAGATTCTTTTTTTTTTTTTTTTTTTGAGACAGTCTCTCACTCTGTTTTCCCGGGCTAGAAGCCTCAAACTCCTGAGCTCAAAGCGATCCTTCTGCCTCAGCCTCCGGAGTAGCTGGGACTACAGGCATGCACCACCATGCCTGGCTAATTTTTCTTCTATATATTTAGTTGGCCAGTTAATTTCTATTTTTAGTAGAGACAGGGTCTCACTCTTGCTCAGGCTGGTTTCAAACTCCTGACCTTAGTGATCCTCCCGCCTGGGCCTCCAGAGTGCTAGGATTACAGGCGTGAGCCACCTCGCAGGCCACATAGATCCTAAAATCGTCTACCTCATTTTATTCTGTAACAACCAAACGCTAGAGTAATACAATTGCCTGCTTTTGGTTTGCGAGGTGCCCCTTGAGGGGGAAAAATTCATCACCTGATCGAGGTCTCAGACTTCAGCTAAACCCTAAGCTCAGTGGGCTTGTTGCAGCATTTTGGGGAAGGAGGCTTATCAATTGAGGCTGGGGGATCTGCTTCCGAGAACCCTGGTGGCATTACCAGGCTTTAAAAGAACTATCTTTGTTGCCTCCCACTCACCCCTACACCTCATGTAAGATGTTAGTTATGAGAATATTCTAGATTGGCAAATTGGTAAGAAAGAAGATACTGTAAATACTCAAAGAGAAATGTAAAGTAACATAAAGAAGCGAAATAAGGAATAGCAAGAAAAGACAGCAAAGATGTTAAATTGATGTAAGTTAAAGACTTAAACAAACCCAAAGAACAAATGATAGTCTTTTTTTTTGAGACAGAGTCTCGCTTTGTTGCCCAGGCTAGAGTGAGTGCCATGGCGTCAGCCTAGTTCACAGCAACCTCAAAGTCCTGGGCTCAAGCAGTCCTGCTGCCTCCGCCTCCCAAGTAACTGGGACTACGGGCATGCCACCATGCCCGGCTAATTTTTTCTCTATATATTAGTTGTCTAATTAATTTCTTTCTATAGAGACAGGGTCTTGCTCTTGCTCAGGCTGGTTTTGAACTCCTGACCTCAAGCAGTCCGCCTGCCTGGCCTCCCAGAGTGCTAGGATTACAGGCGTGAGCCACCGCACCTGGCCAAATGATAGTCTTTTAAAAAGCATTATAATGAAAAGAGATGGGGTGTTTCTGCTGGGAAGCCAGGCATAGGCAATGTTTTGTTAGCTTTCCAGAAAGATTAAACGATTGTACCAAAAAAATTCCCTTGAGAAGTGGCAGGTGTAAGAGGACTCTGGAAAACAGTAAGTAATCCAGCTTCAAAAAAATAATTTTTAAAGGGAGTCTTTCTTGGAGGGGAAATGGAGATCCAAAACAAATACGTTTGGGCACATCAGAAGCTCCCACTGTGCGGCATCTGTAGAGGCAGAATCCCATGCAGACTGGGCTCCTGTTGTCACATAGGCCATTAAGCAAGCTCTGAGTCCCAGGTGGAGGCCACACACAGCCTGAAACTTTTCAGGTAGTGTGCTGCTAAGCACTGGAGAAGAGATCTGGTTTGTTTTCTTACCATGATAATGTTTTATTAATTTATATGTTTGTTTCCTCTATGGCATGAGGTTCACTTTCCATCTGTGAAAAAGCCATGAAATACCTTAAACCATATCTGTGTATGGTGTTTTCACAAACCATGTGATTATTCAATATAATTAAGAAAACTAGCAAACTGGTGAGCTAACAGTTAATGGAAAAGGTATTGCTTTGAAAGCAATCCAATTTATTACGATTCTACATATCAACCTTACCATCTACTTCTAAATTTAAACATTTGCTGTTTACCAACACAAAATTACCACTAACATTTATTTACATGTGTCTCTGGGGAAAATTCATGCAAAGAATAGCCACATCTTTATATACGCAAGGCAGATATCTGGAACAAAACAAAATAATTCTGGAATCCCACCTGACATTAATATTTTAAGAGTAGAGCTACAAGATCCCCAAAGAACAAGAAAACCTGCACTTTATAGAAAAAAAATCACATAGACATCAATTTTGGGTAAGACAGACCAATGCATCTCAAACTATCTCTGCAAAACCATTTGTGGTTTTTTTTGTTTGTTTGTTTCAATTCATTTCAATCAACACTTTTGTAAAATAAGAGTTTATTTCTAGAAAAAAATGAAACTATAATAAATTCTAAAATACAAAATGTAAGTCCTATTTTCTAATTATTAGATTCAACATACATGAAATCTCTCTAAAAATTGCAATGGACCGGGCACAAATTCCGCGGCTGAGTGGATACCGAGCATACAGGCCTGCTAGACGCTCAGTGCACGGCGGCCCCACGGGGCGGGAGAGGCAGGCGTGGAAGCCCGCCCGGCCCCTCCTCTTCCCGCGAGCGCGCGGGACCAGGGACTTCCGCGTTACTACATCTCCAGAGAGCCCAGCAGCCTCCCTCACTGCGCAAAGGGAGGGCCGAGCCGCGGCTCGCTTCCCTGCCTCGAGAGTGCGGGTTGTTTCAATCGAGACGGTTTCGCCTTCTCGGCCGGCCTGTCACATCCCAAGACGTCTGGCCGACCAGGCAACGCCTCATCGGATTAGCCTGCGCGAGTGGCGCCGCAAGCCTCTGGGAAGTGTGGTTCCGAGAGACTACAGGAAGGAGTCAAAAGGGCGCAAAGGACATGTGCGGCCAATTAGACCGAGGTTGGCCGTCTCGCTGACCTGCTCGCCAGCTGTTTGGAGTTTGCCTTGCGGAGCTACTGGAAGTTCCGGAGCTTTGACGATGGCTCCTACCGTCGCCTGAACTCACTCAGATGGTCCCTTCCAAGCTCCTGCGCTTCCCTGCGCCCGACGCGCGCTGGCGGCCGCACATTTCGTATATTTAAACTTGTCCTAGCTCTCCTGACTTCGAATAACTTGCAGGCAACTGTAGACCTCACGTACCGACTCTACTATCCCTGGCCTCTGCACAGCCAAACTGACCCGCTGGATGCGTCAAAGCTTTAGTGAATAAGCATTAATCAATTATTTGATCGTCTCATTTTGGGACCTTTTCAACTACCTGTTCTCACTCCATCACTTTGTGCTCACCCATGACGTAAGTCCTGGGACCCCTCTACATTCTCGCCTCCTTAGTTTCGTTTCTTCTATACGACTAAGATTCTTTTTTTTTTTTTTTTTTTTTTTTTGAGACAGTCTCTCACTCTGTTTTCCCGGCGCTAGATAGCCTCAAACTCCTGAGCTCAAGCGATCCTTCTGCCTCAGCCTCCGGAGTAGCTGGGACTACAGCATGCAGCCACCATGCCTGGCTAATTTTTTCTCTATATACTTTAGTTGGCCAGTTAATTTTTCTATTTTTAGTAGAGACAGGGTCTCACTCTTGCTCAGGCTGGTTTCAAACTCCTGACCTTGAGTGATCCTCCGCCTGGGCCTCCCAGAGTGCTAGGATTACAGGCGTGAGCCACCTCGCAGGCCAACTAGATCCTAAAAATCGTCTACCTCATTTTATTCTGTAACACCCCAAACGCTAGAGTATACAATTGCCTGCTTTGGTTTGCGAGGTGCCCCTGGAGGGGGAAAAATTCATCACCTGATCGAGGTCTCAGACTTCAGCTAAACCCTAAGCTCAGTGGGCTTGTTGCAGCATTTTGGGGAAGGAGGCTTATCAATTGAGGCTGGGGGATCGGCTTCAGAACCCTGGTGGCATTACCAGGCTTAAAAGAACTATCTTTGTTGCCTCCCACCTTCACCCCTACACCTCGATGTAAGATGTTGTTATGAGAATATTCTAGATTGGCAAATTGGTAAGAAAGAAGATACTGTAAATACTCAAAG